TATATATATATATATATATATATATAAGAAATTTTGTGTGCGCAAAAATAAATAAGGGGATTAAAAATAGACATAACAAAGGCCAACTATGGATAAAGAAAATAGAGCAAATGTTACTCAATAATTAGGGAAACCAAAAATGGACAAGCAAATAGGGAGAAAGAGTCAGTTATTCGCAAGAAAATTCTGGACAAAGTCAGTGAGTGAAAAATGATGATGGAATAGGCATAACGACGCATTTAAATCAAAGGTTAGTCTCAAAGGCAGAGCTAATGCAAGAAAATCATGTTCACACTGGCCATGATCAAATAGAATATATTTTCAATGAAACATAAAACTCAAACGAGTGCCCTATACAAGCCTAAGTTCCTGAGTCGAATGTGGAGTAGACCGCCAAACATAGTTTTAGGGGCAGTATGTTTTTCCGGCAACTAAGTAGCTGAGTTGAAGCGTACCAATGTTTTATTGATACAATCTCTCTGCCTACACCATTTTTCTCCGATAAAACCAGACCCTCCCCTGAGTTGCCAATTTAAATAGTAAAGAATTTGGACTAAGCAATGCATCAAAAAGAGACTTTACGAAGTTGAAATGAAGTGGAGAGAAGTTAACTTGACAGTGAGGAAGAATAGAGATAGTACCCGTTTTAGTTTGGTAAGAAGTAGTAAAAAAGAATGGCTTAGAGGTCTATGGTATGCATAAAAGAGAAGACACAGTTATGCCAATGCATAATGAACATAAGCAATCCACTAAAACGGTAATTCTTCGTGGGTCTTAAATTAAGCAATGAGAGGAAGAGAAATAGTGATATTTAAGCGCATATGACTAATTCGACACTACTGTATAGGAGTCGTGTTAACCGGGTAAGAAGTTGAGAGACATTCCACTGCCTAACAGGCAGAGGGAAGATGAGTTCCCAGAGCATAGAGATGCTGATTAACAATAAGGTTCCATGAAATTAGAGAAATGAATTCGACATGATAAACTAGAAGGCAAAAAGAATGGCTACACAGTAAATAATGGAAGCAGAAGACCTTGCAGTCAATTAAATCTGTAAAACGGATCATAATTATAGGGGGACTTCAGCACACAGTATATCCGGAATTATCAATGAACTAGGCAGTAGGCAGACAGAACAAATGGAACGTTTGCCTGAAAGTGTCTGCACATAATAGACTCTTGCTGTATGTTTCTTTGGGCATGTGAATTAAGTGTTCGCATGATAGCGTGGGCTCGTCGATACGTAGGACAGTCATTTGTTTTACTAGCTTTGCTCCGAGTCTTATGATATGCAACAGAAACATAAATAAAAATAAAAAAAGTAAGTATATATTTATGTATATATTTATATTGACGTTCGTCTTTGTTTGTGGTTTTATAGAGAAAGCGAGAGAGAGAGCTCATATTGTATAGGTATTAAAAATAAAGTCAATTATAGGGAAAAAGAAGAAATTAACTATACAGCACTTGAGGGCTTTATTCTCACGAACGTTAAGAAAACATGTTTTTATGAAAGAGTAAGTATGAATGAATATATATATATATATATATATATATTTGATATATATAAAGGGATAAAATTTGGGGCAAATGTGTTTAAGGCCAGAGCCAGGCGATATGCAAATGAATTTTGGGTATAGGTGGGATTTATTGAAGTATTTTAATGCATATTATACTAGGAAGATGGGTCTCTAAATTTACTCCTCCCAAATAGGCAGAGGAAGTAGGGAGAGAGTAGACGAGGCCAATATAGAGATATCTTCTAAAAAAATTGATCGCAGAAATTGCTATGGATGCTACAGTAAATCTGTGGCGAAGAGGTTAGAAAAAATGGAGAACGCCCCACAGGATCATACGTCCAAACAAGGTTGCCTCTGGGTAGATGTGTAGAAAATGAATGTTTACGCGCTTGCGGTAATGAAGTTTGCACTAGGGCGTCCAGATAAATGATGGAGTAAGGCAAGTGGATAGCACATCTACGACAAGAGTGGGCTAGGACGATATAAGCGGATGTATACCACCTTCCTGGTAGAAAATTGTTGGTGACAGTGGTGGTGGTGATGGTGGAAATAGTAGAGTATGTGGAAAATAATTGATGCGAACGAGCTGTCAGTGTTTTTCTCTAAAGTACCAGAGTCAGGTTGAAGAGAGAGTTTTAACATAGAGAGAAGCTCAGTATAAAGTGAGGACGAAAATGGATGGGAAATTAGAAGAGGAAGAGTAATCGAGGAACGGATAGGTTTCATTTGGAATAAGGTACGGCGCCTAGAAGCCTTCAATGTGGCAATAGTTTTCCATGGCTGACAGCAAAACGTAAAAAAGCCAAAGGAAAATGAGGAAGGCGCCGCTCAAATACTTCATCTTTTTTGGTCCGCCCAGCTCACCACCGATAGAAGGCCGCCGGCGCAGAAATATAAGAAGGATAGCGATAAAAGCAAAGATGCAAAACACGGTAACCGAGAAGCCAAGTGAGCCAGCCTCTACTTTAAATTCAGTATGGTTGATGGCGTGGTAGATAGAGGCAATAGACCAGGCAACCCCGATGCCCAGAAAGACGTTGACCGCATTACTTCCAGTCACGTTGCCCACAGACGAGTCTGCCCATTCGTCTCCAATGGCTGCCACTTTGCTCGCGAAGGTATCTACATTGTTTAACAAATTAATACAAAGATCAGTTGATAAGGATTTGGAAAACAGCGATAGTTGAAGATGTTTATTCGCTTCAATCAGACTTCGTACAAGACCTTAGAATTTGATTCTTCATTTAGCCAAAGAG